CCTCCCCCTCCCTCCTCCTTCTTCCTCCTCCTTCCTCCCCCTTCCTCCTCCTTCCTCCTCCTCCTTCTTCTTCCTTCTCCTTCCTCCCCCTTCCTCCTCCTTCCTCCTCCTCCTTCCTCCTCCTCCTTCTTCCTCCTCCTTCCTCCCCCTTCTTCCTCCTCTTTCCTCTTCCTCCTTCTTCTTCCTCCTTCTTCTTCCTCCTCCTTCCTCCCCCTTCCTCCTCCTTCTCTTTCTTCCTTCTTCCTCCTCCTTCCTTCTTCTTCCTCTTCCTTCTTCCTCTTCTCCCTCCTCCCTCTTCCTCCTTCTTCCCCTTCTTCCTCTTCTTTCTTCCTCTTCTTCCTCCTCCTTCTTCTTCCTCCTCCTCCTCCTTCCTCCTCCTCCTTCTTCTTCCTCCTCCTCCTCCTTCCTCCTCCTCCTTCTTCTTCCTCCTCCTCCTCCTTCCTCCTCCTCCTTCTTCTTCCTCCTCCTCCTCCTTCCTCCTCCTCCTTCTTCTTCCTCCTCCTCCTCCTTCCTCCTCCTCCTTCTTCTTCCTCCTCCTCCTCCTTCCTCCTCCTCCTTCTTCTTCCTCCTCCTCCTCCTTCCTCCTCCTCCTTCTTCTTCCTCCTCCTCCTCCTTCCTCCTCCTCCTTCTTCTTCCTCCTCCTCCTCCTTCCTCCTCCTCCTTCTTCTTCCTCCTCCTCCTCCTTCCTCCTCCTCCTTCTTCTTCCTCCTCCTCCTCCTTCCTCCTCCTCCTTCTTCTTCCTCCTCCTCCTCCTTCCTCCTCCTCCTTCTTCTTCCTCCTCCTCCTCCTTCCTCCTCCTCCTTCTTCTTCCTCCTCCTCCTCCTTCCTCCTCCTCCTTCTTCTTCCTCCTCCTCCTCCTTCCTCCTCCTCCTTCTTCTTCCTCCTCCTCCTCCTTCCTCCTCCTCCTTCTTCTTCCTCCTCCTCCTCCTTCCTCCTCCTCCTTCTTCTTCCTCCTCCTCCTCCTTCCTCCTCCTCCTTCTTCTTCCTCCTCCTCCTCCTTCCTCCTCCTCCTTCTTCTTCCTCCTCCTCCTCCTTCCTCCTCCTCCTTCTTCTTCCTCCTCCTCCTCCTTCCTCCTCCTCCTTCTTCTTCCTCCTCCTCCTCCTTCCTCCTCCTCCTTCTTCTTCCTCCTCCTCCTCCTTCCTCCTCCTCCTTCTTCTTCCTCCTCCTCCTCCTTCCTCCTCCTCCTTCTTCTTCCTCCTCCTCCTCCTTCCTCCTCCTCCTTCTTCTTCCTCCTCCTCCTCCTTCCTCCTCCTCCTTCTTCTTCCTCCTCCTCCTCCTTCCTCCTCCTCCTTCTTCTTCCTCCTCCTCCTCCTTCCTCCTCCTCCTTCTTCTTCCTCCTCCTCCTCCTTCCTCCTCCTCCTTCTTCTTCCTCCTCCTCCTCCTTCCTCCTCCTCCTTCTTCTTCCTCCTCCTCCTCCTTCCTCCTCCTCCTTCTTCTTCCTCCTCCTCCTCCTTCCTCCTCCTCCTTCTTCTTCCTCCTCCTCCTCCTTCCTCCTCCTCCTTCTTCTTCCTCCTCCTCCTCCTTCCTCCTCCTCCTTCTTCTTCCTCCTCCTCCTCCTTCCTCCTCCTCCTTCTTCTTCCTCCTCCTCCTCCTTCCTCCTCCTCCTTCTTCTTCCTCCTCCTCCTCCTTCCTCCTCCTCCTTCTTCTTCCTCCTCCTCCTCCTTCCTCCTCCTCCTTCTTCTTCCTCCTCCTCCTCCTTCCTCCTCCTCCTTCTTCTTCCTCCTCCTCCTCCTTCCTCCTCCTCCTTCTTCTTCCTCCTCCTCCTCCTTCCTCCTCCTCCTTCTTCTTCCTCCTCCTCCTCCTTCCTCCTCCTCCTTCTTCTTCCTCCTCCTCCTCCTTCCTCCTCCTCCTTCTTCTTCCTCCTCCTCCTCCTTCCTCCTCCTCCTTCTTCTTCCTCCTCCTCCTCCTTCCTCCTCCTCCTTCTTCTTCCTCCTCCTCCTCCTTCCTCCTCCTCCTTCTTCTTCCTCCTCCTCCTCCTTCCTCCTCCTCCTTCTTCTTCCTCCTCCTCCTCCTTCCTCCTCCTCCTTCTTCTTCCTCCTCCTCCTCCTTCCTCCTCCTCCTTCTTCTTCCTCCTCCTCCTCCTTCCTCCTCCTCCTTCTTCTTCCTCCTCCTCCTCCTTCCTCCTCCTCCTTCTTCTTCCTCCTCCTCCTCCTTCCTCCTCCTCCTTCTTCTTCCTCCTCCTCCTCCTTCCTCCTCCTCCTTCTTCTTCCTCCTCCTCCTCCTTCCTCCTCCTCCTTCTTCTTCCTCCTCCTCCTCCTTCCTCCTCCTCCTTCTTCTTCCTCCTCCTCCTCCTTCCTCCTCCTCCTTCTTCTTCCTCCTCCTCCTCCTTCCTCCTCCTCCTTCTTCTTCCTCCTCCTCCTCCTTCCTCCTCCTCCTTCTTCTTCCTCCTCCTCCTCCTTCCTCCTCCTCCTTCTTCTTCCTCCTCCTCCTCCTTCCTCCTCCTCCTTCTTCTTCCTCCTCCTCCTCCTTCCTCCTCCTCCTTCTTCTTCCTCCTCCTCCTCCTTCCTCCTCCTCCTTCTTCTTCCTCCTCCTCCTCCTTCCTCCTCCTCCTTCTTCTTCCTCCTCCTCCTCCTTCCTCCTCCTCCTTCTTCTTCCTCCTCCTCCTCCTTCCTCCTCCTCCTTCTTCTTCCTCCTCCTCCTCCTTCCTCCTCCTCCTTCTTCTTCCTCCTCCTCCTCCTTCCTCCTCCTCCTTCTTCTTCCTCCTCCTCCTCCTTCCTCCTCCTCCTTCTTCTTCCTCCTCCTCCTCCTTCCTCCTCCTCCTTCTTCTTCCTCCTCCTCCTCCTTCCTCCTCCTCCTTCTTCTTCCTCCTCCTCCTCCTTCCTCCTCCTCCTTCTTCTTCCTCCTCCTCCTCCTTCCTCCTCCTCCTTCTTCTTCCTCCTCCTTCTTCTTCCTCCTTCCTCCCCCTTCCTCCTCCTTCCCTTTCTTCCTTCTTCTTCCTCCTTCCTTCTTCTTCCTCTTCCTTCTTCCTCTTCTCCCTCCTCCCTCTTCCTCCTCTTTACCCTTCTTCCTCTTCTTCCTCCTTCTTCCTCCCCCTTCCTTCTCCTTCCCTTTCTTCCTTCTTCTTCCTCTTCCTTCTTCCTCTTCTCCCTCCTCCCTCTTCCTCCTCTTTACCCTTCTTCCTCTTCTTCCTCCTCCTTCCTCCTTCTTCCCCTCTTCCTCTTCTTCCTCTTCCCTTCTCCTCCTCCTTCATTCTTCTTAATCTTCTTCCTTTTCTTCTTCTTTTTCCTCTTCCTTCTTCCTCCTCCTTCTTCCTCCTTCTTCCTCCTTATTCTTCTTTCTTATCCTCCTCCTCCTTCTTCTTCTTTTCTTTTTTTAATTTTTACTCACCAGTGAGAGACAGATGGCAAGGGAAAGGGATAAAGCCCCCCAACAGGACATGGTCACACCATAATCCCCTCTCTACTTGTGGGATTTGGCACACACACATGTGCT